CCTAGTTGATAAACAACACCCTTGAGCCCGTTTCCAGGGCCCTAAAGATTACCAGAACAGTTAACAATTGCAACGCTAACGTAAGAGGTGAGCGGCCACAACGCGAGTTTCTCTGGACCAGAAGATCCGATCCCTGCTGCTTGGATGATCGAGGTAACAGAGTGAGATTAGGGTGTGACTCACGGATTTAAGGTCGTTAATATTCTGGATGAATCACCTCGCCGCAGCCTTAATGAGGCCACTTTAGACAGCTACAGGTAATACCACGGCGCTGAAGTAAGCTTCCGGACCCCTTGGAGGAGAGGCTGCAAGCAAAGGTGCTTATCGCTACCTCCAGTGGTTACCTTTGCCTATCGGAAAGCAGACAACATTTTGATGTTGTTAGTCAGGTTCTCACAGGCCCACGACCTCTAACCTCTGCACCACCACTCCCCCATGAAAAAATAAAATAAATATGTGTAAATGTGCAGCTGATAAGGAATAGTTTATTCTGAGCTGTGGTAACAGTAGATCATGCCACAACGAACAATTATCTTAAAACAAGGAGAAAAATACAAAAATCTTTAGGATTATGATGGAGTGAGAAAAGCCAGCTCTCTGGAGCTTCACAGCAGAAACATCTCTCACAGTTTAAACATGTCATGACGTTTAGTTGACTGAACGGCACTGTCACAAATTTTTACACAACCACAGTTTAAGATCTAGAATTTACAAGAACTCAATCACTGAATGTTGAACTACATCACACACTTTAACCCTCAAGACGTCTAAAACTTTCCAAAATGTTTGCAAACTTTTTATTCCCACAAACTTTACACTTATATGATTTTTACGCCAAGATGTGTGTAATTCTGTCTTCTTTCCCCCAGTATGTCTCTGTCACTGCTGTAAGACAGGATGTTGTTTAAAATCCTTCCAGAGTATAGAGTGTACTCACTGACTTCCATTGAATCAGAGCTCAGTTCAGGAAAAACAAATATTATGAAAAATGTGTCACCAGAACCCCCTAAATACTTTGTACAGAGTCTGAGTACCCAGACAAAATTTGTAATAGTTCACAATGCTGTACACATCCTACAGAGTGCATACAGCAGATATAATTTCCTACATGTGTGATATTTTCTTATTGTTGATGGTACGACAGTGATATCTGCAGTTTTACAGCCTTTCTGGTTGGAAGCTGTTTGTTGCAACAAATCAGTCAGCAGCAGGTCCACAGTCACAGTTTTAACCAGGCTGCTTTTAAAGGGCTTGCTGCTTTTAAGAACAACAAATGACCCAACAATAAGACTGATTTCATGTGATGAAGTATAACCATGAGTAATAATCACAGTAGCATTCGACCCCATCTTTCCAATTGTGTTTAAATGGTGTATCGTTTCAAGACGACTGTGGAAAATGTACATACTCAATTCCTACTCCTTCTCCCTCTGAAACTTAAATAATTATAGGAAAAACACTTTTCCCCCAGGCAGCTGGCAACGTCCCATTTTACTTCCTGTCATCATGCATTCCTGCTTAGAGTAAAGATTTACTGCAGGTTAAATCTGCACTTTATGGTTTGAGTATTATTAGGAAACATTAACAGATGCCTGCAAATCAAACATTTGGAAACTAGAAACACAAGTTTTCCTTATGAAGACAGAAGCCTCATTTCACCTTCATAAAAAGTCCTGACGTGAAATTTTCACACCTGATATTTAGACCAGAATAAACAGTGTTGAACAAGAACTAATAATGTTCCTGAATATTTTTCTACGTGATTCTAGAAAGATGAGAATAAAAACAAACAAAAAACAGTTGTGTGTTAACAATGTTCTGCTGACTCACACAGGGAAAAACAAAACTGCTTAAAGTAAGCAAAGTACCAGCCGACAGGGACTGAGGTACTGATTTATACAATACCACAAAACTGTCCAGTTTCAAGACTGGGCTTAAGACTTTCCTTTTTGGATAAATCCTATAGTTAGGGTTGGCTTAGACTACTAGAGGACAAACTGACCTCATTTCCTTAAAATGTAATAGTTCTCATTTGATACTATTTCTATCTTAAGATTCTTGACCTGCCATTGTGTATCTGTTCCTCTCAAACCCAGCCGGTTGAAGCAGATGGTCACTTGTCCTGAGCCTGATTCTGCTAAAGGTTTCTTCCTCATGAGGGAGTTTTTCCTTTCCCCTGTCGCCTTCATGCTTGCTCAAGATGAGAGTTGTGTGATGAAGTTAAATTCAAAGCTGCTCCTCAGATAAATAATGTTAAATTATTATTTTATCTATGAATGTTTCTGTTCAGTGCCCTGAGATGACGTCATGTCTGTTGTGACTTGGTGCTATATAAATAAACTGAATTGAATTGAACTTGAGTTGAATGCTTATTGTTCAGTGATTTTTGCTGAAAGCTGCTGAAGAAGCTGAAACAGAGCTGAAAGATTTCATTACTAAACTGTCAATGCGAGTTGAATTTGAACAGCTGACATTTGATGAAGGCAGGGGAATAAACGCAGAAAGCAGGATAAAAAAAAGCATCCAAAATGTGTATAAAAAGCTGAACAAAGAAGAGAGAGTAGATTACAAAAACACACAAAAAAGCTGAAATTAGCAGAAAGAGGCTGAAAGCATAAAAAGTAGAAATTATTCAAAACAATCACAAAAGTGGAAATTAGCAACAAAAAAAATCAATAAAATAGCAGGAAAAAAATGCTACAGTTAACAGTAAAACTGATCAACAGAGAACGCCATCTCCTCTGTGGTCCACACTGCTCTCACCCACCTGGAGCAGAAGGACTCTTACGTCCGTATGCTCTTTGTGGACTTCACATCCGCCTTCAACACCATGATCCCACAAACCCTGCTGGACAAACTATCCACACTAGGACTAAGCCCCTCCATTTGCAACTGGGTACTAGACTTCTTAACAAACAGACCACAGTCAGTGAGGATCCACAACTTCTCCTCCTCCACCATAACCCTCAGCACTGGCTCTCCTCAGGGATGTGTGTTGAGCCCTCTCCTGTTCACTCTGCTCACGTAAGATTGTGCAGCTACACATCCAGGCTGTCACATTGTAAAGTTTGCAGATGATACAGCGGTGGTGGGATGCATCACAAACAATGATGAGTCCAGCTACAGGCAGGAGGTGGAACACCTGGAGAGCTGGTGCAGGAAGAACAACCTTCACATCAATGTGAAGAAGACAAAGGAGATGGTCGTGGACTTCAGAAGGAACAAACCCCCCCACCCCCACCCCCCACCCGAATATAAGAGGATCTGCAGTGGAAGTGGTCTCCAGCTACAAGAACTTGGGTGTAAACATGAATGACAACCTGAGCTGGAGCAACAACACCACCAGCCTGATCAAGAAAGCTCATCAGAGACTCTTCTTCCTCAGGCGGCTGAGACGAGCTGGTCTGGGAAGCTCAGTCCTCACCTCCTTCTACAGGTGTGCAGTGGAGAACATCCTGTGCTCCAGCATCAACGTGTGTCATAGAGGCTGCACAGCTGCAGAAAGAAAAGCTTTGCAGAGAGTGGTGAAGGCTGCACAGAAGATGTTGGAGTCAGTCTCCCCACCATCACAGACATTTACACCTCCAGATGCAGGAAGAGGGCCACCTGTATCATGATGGACCCCACTCACCCAGCACACATACTTTTTCCCCGCTCCCCTCAGGAAGGAGGTTGAGGAGCATTAAGTGTAGAACCACTAGACTGAGGAACAGATTCTACCCTGAGGCTGTTAGACTCATGAATCTCTAACCAGAATAATCACTATGAACCATCACATCATGTTGCTGCTGATCTGTTTCATGTTGCTGCTGATCTGTTTCATGTTGCTGCTGATCTGTTTCATGTTGATGTGTTCATGCATGCTCATCTACTCACATAGACTCATGTTCATGCTGCTGTTCGGCGTATTGTTTTTGTTTTTATGCTATTAGTGCTTGGTGTATATTTAGTTTATGTTTTTCTATGTTCATATCTTAGATGTTATTACTGTTTTTCTTTTAAATTTTATTGTTGGATGTAACTGGGACCTTGTGTACATTATTTTGCTTCACCACATGTACCACATGGGGTGCGAATGACAAAGAAACTCTGACTCTGATTCTGAATCTAAAAAACTATAAAGTAGCAGTAAATGCTGAATTTAGCAAAGAAGCTGAAAAATGCTGAACCAGAGCAAAAGCTGAAATGAGCAGTAAAAGGTTGTAAACAGCACAAAGAGTTTGAAGGAGTGAAGAGAGCTTCTTTCATTTTCAATGAGAAAAACATGGCTGAAAAAGCTAAATACTACAAAAAGTAAAAATTGCACAAATACCAAACGTCACAGCAGGAACGTCCTGAATGAGTCCAACGTTTTCATACATGAATTGTTGAAGTAGAACAAAAATTGCAGAACAAGTTATGCGATGATAAACATATGGAAGAAAAATGGATCGCAGTAGTAAGAATGATTTATGAACATTCACACAATTAAAGGACCATAAACCCCCTGCTGTTTTTTATGCCATAGTTTTACTCTAACATTAAATGCTGAGATGGGATGGCATTACTGGTCAACCATGACATCATGCATGATCTCCCCGACTGTGTACCGCTTCATGTGACATGTTGGTGTTTCTCACTTTGCATGCCAACATTTTACCCAAAGATGTTGTGCAATCTGTTGGTGGTCAGAGTAAGTGTTGTGAATGATGCTCAGCTACTACCTCACCAGATTTCAGCTCAATATCAGTACAACTGACTCAGTTATAGCTCTTTTAATTTAAGCTAAGTCTGAGTGGTTGTGGCGACCATCTTAAACTGGGTTCAAAAGTAAATCAGTTGTACATGTACATCCAGTGAATACTTCTTAATAGTTTAATAAAAAATAATCCAACAAACACACACAAATAGGCAAAAACATTTCATATGGGGAACCTCAAGCTATTTAGACAAGCAACAACAATTTGAGCCTCCTCATTCTGCATGTTCCCGTGTGTCTGCAGAGTAAAAGCAGAACTTACACAGCTCACAGTGTCTGCCTTTAAATCTGGCTGCACAGCTGCAGATGAAAGAGTCGCCGTCGCTCACACACGTCCCTCCATTCTGGCAGGAGCGGCTATGGCAGTCCTGAGGCGACTCTAAAGAGACGGCAGATGCCATTAACGTCCTCACAACAGAAGGAGGTGAAGGCCCACATTATCCACACCATGTGCTTAAAGGCCCATCAGAACATGATTCTCATGCATACAACAGCCATGTTAGCTGGGATTACATGCATGGCTGGAGTACCATCCATTAAAACAAAGCAAAATGAAACAGTTAACACCCACCAGGCTGTGTCCTTGAACCTTTTTCTTCTATCTCAAGTGCAAGGCTAATTTTGTTTGTCGTTTCCTCCAGCTTTTCTAACACGATAGGTGGATCAGGTTCTGCAAGGCAAAACATTTCCTGTTATGTCCTGTGAGAAGACAAAATAAACAACTGCATAATGACCAAGAGGATTTAGATGCTGCATGTTCCTCAGCATTAAACAATGCTATGACACTGCTGGTCTAACATCATCAAACAGGCAGAAGATCCATGAAGAGGAAACATTTTCTAAAGAGAACAACAGGTTTTCAGTTTCAACACGTGGACAAAATAACTGTGGGAAGAAAAGCATTCTGTAAAAAGATCATCGCTAACATTTTAACAATAGGTTTATTTTATTTTGTAAACTGCTGGTTGAAGTGAACAGCATATGTCAGATAAAGTCCTTTCACATGAGAATCACTCAGTCCACAGGACCACGGCAGGATTTTCCCATGTGTCAAGATGAGCAAATAAAATGAATATTGTATAGTTTCATTTTGTGACATAATACTGTAGTGAAAACAGTAATATCCTGATGAACACTACGATCATAAGGAAAAGAAAAGCTCTTTCAATTCTAGTATTTTATGTAAGTTAGCATAATAAAACAATCTAGTCTTTATCAACTTCTAAAATTATTTAAATCTGATTCAAGGTGTTCAAAAACACTAAAGATTGCATTTTGTTATTTTTTTCCAAACAAAAATTAAACCAAAATGTAAAAAGCTGTGTGTGAAAAACTGAGTCCACCTTATGATGCAGCAGCTTCCTTCTGCAGCCAACAAAGTCCATGCTCAATAATCCAGGTATGCAACCCAACACTTTTCAGTCAGGTCATCTGGACAGTTTCTTTTTTTGTGCTGAAATGTTTCACCTTCCTTCCAGAAGGCTCCATCAGACTGATGAAGCCTTCTGGATGGAAGGTAAAACGTTTCAGCACAAAAAAAAAAAGAAACTGTCCAGATGACCTGACTGAAAAGTGTTGGGTTCCTTTTGCAGCATGAAATCTCCGTAGAAGTTTTCTGCAGGAGTTCAGTCTCTCACATGGTTGTGGAGGAGTTTTGGCCCACTCTTCTTTACAACATGGCTTCAGTTCACTGAGGTTTGCAGAAATCTCTGCCCATCTCTCTGAAGACCTCACCACAACTTCTCAGTCAAGTTGAAGTTTGGACTTTGACTGGACCATTGCAACACCTTCATTGGTGCCCTTTTCTTTTTTTGATGTTGTGCTTTGGGCTCATAGTTCTGTTCCATGACCCAGTTTGGTCCAAACTTAGCTGTCGGACAGAAGACTTCACATTTGACTCCAGAATCCTTTGGTCTACAGAGAAGTTCATCTTCAGCTCAGCAAGCGGTGTGCTGATATATGACTGAGGGATTTAAACAGAGAATGTTTGTAGTTTTCTACATGAGTGCTTTCCTGGAGTTGAACTGAACAGGGAATGAAGTAAACTTTAATGTTTTTGGTGCAAGATGCTCATGTGCGTTTGTGATTTTGCTTGTCCTAGGCAGCGCAGAGTGACAGATCCAAGAGCAACTTCATCCTCCTCCAGGTGCAATGATGGAGCCGAGGGGTGGCCAATGGTGGCCTTGACCACAAGAGATTAATGTTCAGCCACCTCAAGAGCCACCCCGATAATTTGAGGAGATTATACTTTTAAGTTATATAAAATCTAGAAAGCATAGTTTCCTCAAATAGCTGGGGTAGCTGGTTTACATGTATAATTGGCGGTGGCCATCTTGGATTTAACATGGCAGCCCAGTATTCGATAGGGACTTTTCCTGTGCAGCCACACACAAAAATGGAAGTTGGTACCTCACTTATTTTTCAAGTTATCATGCTCACAAGACGGACAGGTTTTCACCAAACATGGCGCTGTGCATTATGGGTAAACATTTTTACTCTTATATGTCCAGAAGACATTTTTTCCAAGTGTTGTGGCTCAATCAGACACACACCTTTACAAACCTAAATCATGCTTCCATGTTTAATTTTTTATACAGAAGAGGATTTATTTTGGCAACACTTTCAAATAAAGTTATACTCGTTCAGTCATTTTTTATTTGTCCTGCAAAAGTTTTTACTTTAGAATATTTTTCTCCTTTGTAGAAAGACATTCTTTTCAAAACTGTGCTAATACACCGGTTTGATCAGGAACAGCTGCTCTTATAGAGGGATCATACTGATTATTATCAGTTAATCGATAAAACTGATCAGCAGCACCTGGCTGCTACTTTCCTTCTTAAATCCTGTAGAAGCAGCAGAGTGTATTTAATTTTTCCACACACAGCTTTTTTAAATGTTAGTTAGTTTTATCTTTGTTAATAAAATAATGACATGGAGGAAATGGTTGTATGTTCTTTGTTTACTTGAGGTTAGAGGTTAGATTTTAATAATTACCCTATACAACATGAGCATTTTTATTATGTCTTGAGTCATAAAACCCTTGAACTGACAGAGGGTGAACTTTTCCCCCATGACTGTAACTACATAAAAAAAAAACACTTTATTTCAGACTATTTTCTGGTGATTCTCTCTTCTAGGTTTATTGCATGATGGCTTGAACTTACTTGCACGATGTCGAATAGTTTTCCGAGGCAAATGCGTGAACTTAGCTGTTATCTTTCCCCTACTGTCAACCAGCTCAGTGTATCTGCAGCACACAGAGACAAACACTAAGAGCTTAACTTCAGCTGTGAAACTGATACTTGTGCTTTGAGGCTGATTTAAACGTCACATGTACCTGAACGAGTCTTCTGAGTTCCCTGTTTCTGTTGGTTCTCCCAGGTCTTGAGGAGAAAGTTTGCGTGCAGTCTGAGTTCCCTGTCCCGTCACTGTGGGCCTCTCTTTCCTCCCTACTCTCACCTGCATCGGCACTGGGTGAGATAAAAAGTAACACAATAAAAATGTCATATGTTACTTAACTATGATCAACTTTATGGACAGCTCATCAGATTTCAGAGGAAAATGTCGTAATGCGTTGTCACTGAACATTCTCACAGCTGACACTCACAGGTAGTGAAGGCCACATGCTGTGGCACACTGTGGATCTGTCCCTGCTCCGTGTTCTGAACAGAAGTGAGCACCACGTGGTACTGCTGTCCTGGTGTCAGCTCACGGACTGTGTATGATCTTAACTTCCCATTGGGCAGGAAGCGACTCCTGGTGTTCAGCCCTCGGGTCACGTTGATCACAAAGCCATCTGAGATGTTTCCTGGGTGGTGGCCCCAGGTGATCATTGCTGAGTTAAAGGTCACGTGGGACAGAGAGAGGTTCTGTGGGGGCTGGGGTCCTGAGGATGTAAACAAAACATCAGCTGGTTACATTATTGGCATTTGATTTAACGTTGCATTATTTGGATGTACAGGTCCTTCTCAAAAAATTAGCATATTGTGATAAAGGTCATAATTTTCCATAATGTAATGATAAAAATGAAACTTTCATACATTTCAGATTCGTTGCACACCAACTGAAATATTTCAGGTCTTTAATTGTTTTAATACTGATGATTATGGCATACAGCTCATCCATCCATCCATCCATTATCTTTACCCGTTTATTCCATTTTTGGGTCACGGGGGTCGCCGGTGCCCATGTCCAGCAATCACTGTGCGAGGGGCGGGGTACACCCTGGACAGGTCGCAAGTCCATCACAGGGCCACACAGAGACAAACGAGACAAACAACCATTCACTCTCTCACTCACACCTAGGGACAATTTAGAGAGTCACCAATCAGCCTAACATGCATGTTTTTGGTCTGTGGGAGGAAACCGGAGTACCCGGAGAAAACCCACGCATGCACGGAGAGAACATGCAAACTCCACCCAGAAAGGCCCCTGGACCGGGGTTTGAACCAAGGACCTGCTCGCTGAGAGGCAGCAGCTCTACCAGTTGCGCCACCGTGCTGCCCGCATACAGCTCAAGAAAACCCAAAATGCCTGTCCCAAAAAATTAGCAAATTTCATCCCACCAATGAAAGACAAGTGTTTTTAATACAAAAAACGCCAACCTTCAAATAATCATGTTCAGTTATGCACTCAATACTTGGTCGGGAATCCTTTTGCATGAATGACTGCTTCAATGC